TACTAGGTTGCAAATCAAAAAAATGTGTAACAAAATAGTGTTAGGTTTTAAACGCTTATATCTTGGATATTTATTGATGCACTTTGACTATATGTTTAATATTACTTCTGCGTGAAGTCAACGATTTACATACTTGAAGATGCTAATTTCAAATAACAGACTTAAGTGGTAATTTTTATACGATAGATGGAGGAGATAAAAGTCTAGAGTTGATAGTTCATATCCCCTCACCATCCCTCTCCAAAGGGGGAGTTTGGTAAAGAGAGATGAAAAAACCGATTTGTACCTTCCTTAAAAGTTGTCCTAGCTATCTACTATCTATATGCAATTTTCACACTGCCGTACTCTAACGGAACTATCAACTAGACTTTCATCTTCTCCATCTATCGTATAAAAATTACCACTTTAGTCTGTTATTTGAAATTAGCATCTTCAACTACATTTATTGATGGTTTTAAATTCTTTTCACACCCTTTGATTCAGATTTGAAATTTGGTTTGGTTTGTTATATGTTTGGTATAAATATTATAGTAATTTATCATTAGTTAAATATCGAAAATTGATCAAACTATAAGTATGCAAAGAGTAGGTTAATCTTAACATTTGAATCAACACCAATGAATTTTTTAACTTTAAGTCCGAGATGTGCAGCGAATATTTCTCACTTAATTTTTACAACGCAAAAACAAATACAGTTTATTACTAGAATTGAAATCTACTTTTTTCACGTATCTTTAACAAGCTTAAATTCTATTCCATCTACTACTTCAAACCGAACTATGTTGCGTCAACTGTGTGCAAAGTTATTAGCAAATGAGCAGTTCGTGACCAAAACTGTGTGTGCCAAGCATGCTCTCAGGGTTATCAAAACTGTTCGAAAGAGCAGTCTACCACCGGCTCCTAACTAGCCGAAGAAAACAACTTGTTATTCGAGGAACAGTTTGGTTTCCGGAAAGGTCGTTCGCCCGTCCATCAGCTGACTCGAGTAACAAACATTCTTAGATGGAACAACTCTGTATCTAAAACATCTGTTTGATGGCCTGGTCTACAAATTGCAGCGATACGGTCTTCCAATCTGCCTAGTGAAGATAATTAAAAATTACCTTTCGGACAGGACATTCAAAGTCTCTCTCAATGGCATCACATCGGATACTTTCCACTTTGGTGCTGGTGTCCCACAAGGAAGCATCCTTGGCCGCATCTTATTCATCATTCTCTGTCCGCAGATGACACATCCATCATCTTCAAGGGTAGGGTCATCGGTGCTCTGGCGCCAAACTTCAGAGAGGCCTAAGTGTCCTGTCAGAATAATTCAACAGCTGGAAGATCCGTATCAACGCGGCAAAGACCCAGGTCATCATCTTTCCTCATTCCAAATCACCCAGACTTGTTCCGTCTGAGAATAATAACATCAACTAGAACGGCACAGTGGTGGAATGGTCAAAAAAGGTAGTGTACCTCGGCCTTACACTCGACAGCAAGCTGCTTTTGCATTGACAAAACAAAAACCAAATGTAACATCCTGATGAGTTCCTTATATCCATTCGTCAATAGGAGATCCACTCTGTCCCTGAAGAACAAACTTGATGTCTATAAGCACATAATTCGGTATGTCAATCTGGGATGTTTTGTTGTTTTTGACATCATCCACATCCAGAGGGCCAGTCACTTTCGAATGTATAGGAATGATAGGAAACCATTTGAAAATGCATGAAAATTTTCAGTTTTTATTCATTATCGTCTTTATGGGCAGTTTTGCACGAGTACATTACTATGGTGATAAGGTAAACACCCGTTTATTTGTTTCCTTCTGTGAAAGCATGTTTAGTCACACACCGTTGATTTTCTTATATTCTCTATACTGCAAAAAAGATTTTCCTACCACTGAAGGGGCGACATCTCTCGGATCTTCAGTATAGCTACTACTCAAATCATATAATTAATTACAAAGGGTTCAAACAAATTTTTGAGGATGATCCTCAACAGTCCTCCACGAATGAGGAACTCTGAGTTCCATCGCCTGGCTGGTCTTCAGACGCTAGAGTTACGGAGAACAGCTACAGTCGATCTTGTTATCCGTGATGAGAACCAATGCTGCCGACGCCAGGGAGGCAGCTCCCACACCTGGACCCTACCTATCGACCCATCAACTCGTGAACCGGGGACCAACGGCTTTACTTCCCTTCCGAAGGAAGGCGTGATCAGAGATGTTATGCCTCAGAACATCCCGGCGGCGCCGACTATGATTGAACCCAGGCCTGCTGGAGTGAGAGGTAATCACGCTCACCACTACATCACCGGCGCCGCTAATCCAACCAGCTGATCATAAGGAATCTGGCACATTAGGTTAAAATTTAGATTAAGTAGATAGCTTATCAAATTTTTAAATTCAATCTAAACACACCCCTCAAGGGGTATTCTGTAAACTAGTCGAAAACGCAAATATTAAATTAGAATTTCAAATGAAAAAAGGATGAAGAGCCAGGTAGGCTAATCAATTAAAATGTTAAATCAATGTACTATCATAATCAACAGAAATAAACATAATTTTACTACTAATACTTTTGCTTCAAATCGTATGGGGATGGGACGGTTGTCACATCGGTAGACGCCGTAAACAGCCGATGAGGCTAACTCAAGCTTGAGTAGGATTTCTCTCAAAATAGTAGAAAGTGAGAAATTTTTTTCACAAAAATCCGCTTGAAAAAAAGAAATAAATAAATAAATCTTTGAAGTCTATGAGTACACTAGTTCTCGGCTAATGGGATTGACTCAAAATATAGTCGAATTTAACTCAAAATTTGCAAAAAAAATAGGTTAATTAGTGAATGAGTAAAGTTTTCCAAGATTTTCTAGGACAAACTTCCAGAAGTAGAACCCCGTTGAATAGCTAAAATTGCATTTAAGTTAACGGTGCTCACTTTGAATTTGTTAACATCCTTGTATGTAATGCAATTGTGAGTTGAATTCGATTGGGTAAATTTTTTTCTCGATTTTCGTCATATTCGAGCAGATTTTTGAGGCAAAATTTGACTCACTCAGTGAGTAACCTCACTTTCACGATTTTAAGTGAAATTTACAGTGATGTCATGATGGTTAGAACTGGTGACCCTCCAGGCCAAACAGTTGTTAAAAAAATATTTATCTTTATTTCCTACAAGGGCACAAAGGGTAATTCTCAATGAGTAACCAATTGCAAATTTACCATGATCACTGGATTGCGGTCTTCATCAAAGTTTTTAAGATGCATAAGACCTATTGGGAGGTGAACAGTTGAGTTCGGAGTTCTTCTCCCAGGTGGGACTAATAAATTATTTGCTTAACTTGACATCTTGACTAGATAGAAGGTTTCTGTGTTTGAAAAAGTTTTCAAGCCTTATTGGATGGTGTACATCACACTAGTATAGTGTTTAACTTCTTATTACTAGCATACAATTTAACTTCTTATAGCTTTAACTTGCAACTTCGACTAGCTAGAAAGTAACGGCCCCGGAAAAAGTTGTTCTCATGAATAAAACCTATTGGAAGATGGACAGTTCAGTTCAGAATTGCCTCACCACAAGGAAGTAAGTGTGCCCTCGAAAGAATGATTCTTGAATCAGTAATTTTTTCTTATTCCTCATAGTTATTACGACCAAACCAGAACCTGGAACTTTGCTTTTGTCTTCAACTTTCATTTCATCTGCTGTTCATTTGCAACTTTCATGGCATAGGGGAAATGGATGTAATGTCGGCCTAAATGTTCCTAATTTGGGCCCATACATAATTTCAGCAATCGACTAAATTTTCAATAGCAACCAAAAATATCCATTAGTACCGTTCCAATGACGCGTTCATCTAGATAAAAATTGATAAATAGCAGATTTTTAGCGATGGGCCCAATCTAAGATTCATAGGCCAACATTAGAGCCATTTCCCCTATATCAGCGAGACAAACCCAACAAACATTGGAAGCATAACAAGAGCTTATTCAGTCAAAATGTTGCTTCTTCAGCTAAAAAATAGCTTATTCAGCCTTTAAGCAGCTCAAATTGTTTGTTGGGAAGAGTTATCAAAATAGTACCATAATGTTTGCAAATTTTAATACAGCCCAATGTTTTGTAGGATAGATCAGTTCAAACAAACCAAAATATGTTAATATGAAACATATTAATTGACTTTCAATTTATAGAATTACAGTGTTCGCTATTTGATAGATTTCGGTTTCAACACAGATAAAGGACAAACTCAAATGTGATTCAGTTTATCTGTCATAACTCTGCAACATCAAAATGTAATAATATGATGTGACGTACTTTGAAGTATTTTCAACTGGTTTGTTATATGAAATGCATCAATAAACTGTAAATAAACATTCAGTAGGTACCTGAAAATTGATTGTATATGTTTTGAACCCAATTTTGAATGGGTTTGGAACTGCATTTTGAAATATGAATTAAGATTCAATTAAGGATATTGAATGTCCCCAAGCTTTGTTTATTTTAAAACAACATTTATAAATAAATAATCTTGCAATTATCAATTAAATTACAAAGCAAAAAACAATCTCGTAGTCCTACGTCAATAATGCGGTCTTGAGACACAGCCCGTTATTCTTTTCCCATAATTTTGTCGCAGATGTCATTTCGATTGGAATTCACGTTTTCAAGTTAAAAATATAGATTTGGCCATTTTGATTTTTTTAAAGATTCAAAATGGCCGAATTTTAGCTAAAAACAATTATATAAAGTTTCATGAAAATCGGAGCCGGTCGAGTCAGATTTTCATCTAATAGACTTAAAAATGCTCCTCTGTGATCGCTTACAAAATTTCTTAAAATTACATTGTTACGCGTAACATTACCCACTCCTTCGGCTCAACAAAGTGTAACACACTGAAATTCCCCCAATCAACCGTTGTGAAGAGCGCCTCGCCTAATTTACATATTCACTTTCCTTTTTCGAAAATCACAAATCAACGCCTCTAACCAAATATTTCTGTTTTCTCGCTTTACTTTTCAGAAACGTTTTGTACAAAGCAAAAGAGCTAGGATTAAGAACCGTTGCTTTATGTGATATTAGCTCAGTGCAGAGAAATTTCCCACCAGACACTGCTGCACACATAGCACTACGTAAGTATCTCTCAATCTCACTGTTCCCGTTGATCTCAACCTACCAGATCGTTATCATCCCCCCCCCCCTTCCATTGTTGTTTGCAGGAACCATCCGCCGTTTTCTGGAGCAATACCGCGCCGAGATTGTGATAGCCTGCCTTGAACCGAATGAGCGCGGCATCTACGAGGTACTAGCGCCGCTCTACTTTCCCCGCGACCCGCTCGAGGAACGAAGTGCCCTGTGGCAGCTGCCGAAGGACGTCGGCGGCGCGTATGGTGAACCGCAGCTAGCTGATCGCCAGATCCGCATCATTCACAATCCACAGCACTCCGTCATGATCGAAGGTAGGAGGGATGAGGGCAATCAATCAAACTCAAAAGGCATATTTTGAGGTTATTTATATGAACACGCGAACTTTCACCCCCCCCCCCCTACGAGCCGACCGGAGAAAAAGGCGCCCTTGAGACAAGGGCAGACCTAGAGACTCGCTGCCAGGTTGAAGGCATTTCCTGTTTTGCAAATGTAGAAGTGTGAAAAGCGGAAATCGATTTCGGTTCACGGTTTCGGTGGCAGCAGCGTAGCGAACTGCCACTGCCCGGCTGTGTGCATGCAAATCGTGTGACGTGCAGAATCGATTCCGCTGTCAGCTTTTTATTGTTTTGTTATTGTTAGGTGGTGGATGATATTCATCGGGAAATGCTGACGAGTTTTCGGCTCGCCAAGTGACAAAACGGTTTGGAACTGGATCGAAGTCGCATTTCAGTCGACCGGGGCATGAGCAAACGTTGAGAAGCGAATTTTTCTTATCGGAAGGTTTTTTTTTAATTTTATTGTATTTAACAACAAAGTTAAGTTTGCAGTCATAAAGATGTTTGAGACTCAAAGCAAACAAAGTGGAGACGCTGTATTTGATGAAAGCGAGTTTTACGATTTGTGTCTGAGATGTAAGTTCCGGTTTGGCTGGAGTGGGATCCGGGTTGATAGCAGTGATAATTTAGCTGGAGGGATTGTTTGGGCTGAACAGGCAAGTCTGTTGAAAAAATACTTCGTGGAAATGATCAGTTGTGTGTATGTTTGACTCATACTCATACACAATCAATAAACGATAGGTAAAAGATCTGATAAGATTTGCTGGGTCATGGAATCAGGGTTGAAGCGTTTTGTTGTGCTGACAAGTTTCTATGACTTGCCCATCAGGGTACGGCTGATTTCCGTTTGTGAGGAGATTTTTGTGCGTTATTAGCCTCTCTTATCAGTTGTGTATCAATCGAACGACGACGACGACACCGGTGAAGGTAAATTGTCAGCGCCTATCATCATCATCGTCCACAAACCATTACTATCCTGTAGGTACCTACCTTCGAATCGATGCCGATATGCGCTGTACGTACGCACGCTTGTGGAAGTGGATGACTATATGACCTACCTTGCCAGTAGATACCTGTTCGGGTTTGCATTTGGAAGTTTTGATTTTGAACCGCGCGCGTGATTCTGTGTTTGTATTTTTAATAAATCTATCATCGTTTGTTAGTTGCCGGACGACCAATCAACGAGAACAGTGATAGTTACAGAATATGGATTCGGAGCGTGGCAGAAATAGAGGTACTGTCGATTCGATGCTTTTCGCTTGTTGGATTTGGAGCTGACTAGTATTCCAATATCAAACGGCTTTGGAAACCTGAGGGTTTTATGCGCTATGTTTTTTAATAAACGGAATATTCTGCACAGTTTGTAATATGAACAGAGTGTGATATAATTTTAACAGAAACCAAGCAGTGATTTTGTTTGATAGCTCAGATATAAGAACGTCAATTGAGGACGATGAATTGAAATATATAAGATGGGACAAAAGTTCGAGTGAAACAGCAAAACTAAATGACACTTATTTGGAAGGTCTTTAAGAGCCGCTAAAATCACAAAAAATCGTGGTGTTTTTGAATAATTATTGGCAAAAGTGTGTTTCGGGAAGATAAATTTTAACATTTGTGTCAACTTTGGGGTCGGACAACAACAAAAATTCAAAAGTGAAGGGGTTCTTTTATTTCAAAGCGTGATTGCGTTTTTCTTGAAGATGATTTTAGGAGCATCAGAATTTTGATATGTTTTCGGGAAGCTGGAATTTCCTTTTGTGGGTATTAAAGTTCGAGTCGTGCCCCACTCTCATGTAATCATTCACAAATGTTTAAGGCGCATTTTTTTTACTAGTTCGTTTATTTACTAGTCTCAGTCGTGTGTGACACTTTGCGGAGCCATGAATCCGTAATTGTTTAATTCACATTTTAAACAGTAGTAGTTCTAGGTTAGTATTGGGTACCAATTACTTGTGGCGGGCTCGAGGTTAATGGGTAACAATTTCGATTGGTAGGAGCTAGGTAGGAAACAGGTTTCTTAAGCCTCCTTAAGATACTACTCTCGGACGGTTGACCAAATTCTGGCTGGGCAGGGGCAAGAAGCACAGAAACAGGAGGATAATAAGACTGAGACACAATGGCTTAACATTGTTTGGAAAGGAGGAGATGGTCACATCAAACTTTAACATCAGACAAACAAAGGAATTCGTAGATCGCCTGCATGTAGGAAATATCACGGATTCCCAATACATCTCTTGCTTCACGGAAGGGTTGTCTACCTCGGGCCATTAGGATATCCAACAGTCGTGCTCTAGAGGCGTCATTACCCTGGAAATACCAAACTGTGTGATCGATGTCATCATAAGCGGTTCTACACCTACATATATTGCTGTCAACGAGGTTTATTCTGTAGATATGTACGTCTAGCGAGTAGTGGTTGGACATAAGTCTTGACATCATGCGAATGAAGCCCCGACTAACATCCAGACCTTTGAACCACGCTCTCGAAGAAACATTTGGAATAATGGAATGTAACCATCGCCCAAGAGAATTACTTGTCCAATCGTTTTGCCAACTTAAAAGAGAACTCTAATGTGAAAAAAATCATTATGTGAAGTTCTTCTATCATAAATCTCGCTTTGTTGTACGCCCACCTTTGCGAGAGAGAGGCTGCCTTCTCATTGCCTGGGATTGAGCAATGTGGGACCCATACAAAGGTTATCATATATGATTACCTTTGAAAGGAAATAAGATGAGTGCCTACCTTGTTTCATCGACCCAATAGCCTCAATCAAACTGAGACTATCCGAGAAGATGAAGTTATGGTCTGCGGACATGTTGGAAATCATCCCCAATGCGAAGTTGATTGCTGCTAGCTCAGCAACATAAACGGAACAAGCTTCCTGAAGTTTCCGAAAGGCGGTTGAGTATTCATTAAAGACGCCAAAGCCAATGGATCCATCAAATCAGTGAAACATCTTCTATTGCAATATTGGAGGCGAACCAGCCTAAGGCTGAAAGCCTCCTAAATAAAGCTAAATAATAACAATTCTATTGCAATTGACTACTTTTCAGCAAAAATACGGGGAATTGAGATAGGTCGAGGTTGATCTGGAACTCTTTGAATAGCATATTTCATGGATAGATCATAGACTATGGGGGAACTGTAGCTAGTAAAGCATATACGAGGGGGGTTATAGCACGGAAGGCTAATATCCGATGGCATATAATTAAGATAGATTCGCACGAATCTAGACTGGATGCTCAATTCGAGCATTTCTTCGAAGTGTTGTTACTGATACTGCATTTAATCAATATTCCTAATGAGAGCTCCCAGAAACGGTTCTGCAGGGGTTTTACTGCCGCCAGATCCTCTAGGCTCATATTGTGCGTTGAATGCATACAGCCAAGGGTAATACGTAAACAACGATATTGAATGCGTTCCAATTTAATTAGCAAGCTGTGAGGAAGCAAATAGAGCCATACTCAAGAACTGAAAGAATAATCGTTTCATACAGTTTAATTAGGTCTTCCGGGTGAGCACCCCACTACGTCCCGGAAATTGTTCGTAGAAAGTTTATCCTTTGTTCACACTTTTGTTTCAAGTGCATTTTGAATCAAACCAGACTCCAAGGTATTTGAAGGTTAAATATTGGGTAATGTCTTTGTCCAAAAGATTAGACGCAGTTGGGCTGGAAACTGCTTCCTTGTAAACACTACCAATTCAGTTTTTTGCGGTGAAAACTCGATCCCTGAGTTTCTTGCCCAGAAAGACAGATTATTTAGGGAATTATGCAATGGTGTTTGCAAGATGTCCGCAACTGGTTCTCTCAGGGAAACCACGGCATCGTCTGCAAGCTGTCTAAGCGAGCATCGATTATCTAAGCAGTTATCAATATCTTTGACATACACACTTAATCTAGCTTGGTAAAATCTCCAACAGCCGATTACCTTTTGCTGATATCTCTGCAAAATATCTGTTTGTTAGCTGATAGGGTAGAGAACTACTTCGGCCTAATCGCCCATTTTGGGCCTATCGAGCAGAAAACTTCAAATAAATCCATGATTTCAGAGTTAAAAAGTCAATTATGCATTTGGCACGATACTTTAGTTAATAAGCTACCGAACGAAATCAATGAGAACGCTTGATATGAAGGTTTGCACCCATAATTCCCAAAAACAAAAGAACCGCTCCTACCGAATCAATTTTTATCTTCATCCGATAGGCCGAAGTGAATTCATTGGCGTTTCAGTGGCGTTACAATGCGTTAGGCCGACTTTAGAATCCGTAGGCCGAGTTTGGCGTCAAGAAGTAATGTTAGACTTTTGACAATATATCAACGATTCGTTTCTCTTTACCAAATCTCACAGTACTTACGGAAAGGTAAATAAATTTGGAAGCCATCAGTAATAATAACATTCCATTTGAAGCTAAACAGCGCTAGATTAAGAAAAACTAAGTGCGGGTTGTGCTTAATAGGCCGGAAATGGTGTATTTAACCCTATCTCAGCAAAATGTTATTTGTTAGCTGAGTCTCGGCAATTGTTTAACTGGATCTCAGCAAAATAAATTGCAGACTTACTCGGCTGTTAGAATCTCGGCGAAAAAATTTAAGGGTGTAGAAATTTTAAGGTAAGGGACTTAAACATGAACCTTGGGGTAACCGCATGTACACTCCCGATCATAAGTTTAAGGACACCCAAAAAAAAAACATGACAAATTTGTTATGTTCATATCTCTGTTATGTTACGTCCAATTTTCGTTCTCTTAAGATCATTTGAAAGGTATTGAATGGAACTTTCCTCGTAGGCAAATTGTTCAATTTAATTTTCAAATTTTGTGTGCTAAAAGTTCACTTAAAGTTACAATATTTTTCAAAATTTACTCTGAAGAATCGTGATTGATTTTCTCAGAATTGGGTTGGCCAAATTTTGAAATACAGTGCTGGACAAAATAAATCATACACAAATATAATTTTTCTTTGAAGCTCGAT